TGCCTGGTGTTATACTCACCCCAAGATCTGTTTCCTTGAGTGAGGTTTGTAGTCTCTTGCCTCCTAGACTGTACTCCGTGTGCAGTCTTCTTTGCCCTTCCCCAGTCTTCATGACTTTGCACTTGGTGGGGTTGAACTCCAGGAGCCAATTGCTGGACCAGGTCTGCAGCCTGTCCAGATCCCTTTGTAGTTCTGCCTGGTCTTCGATCGAATGAATTCTTCTTATCAACTTCACGTCATCTGTAAACAGGGACACTTTGGCATTTATTCCTTCCGTCATGTCGTTCACAAATACCAGAAACAGCACTGGTCCTAGGACTGACCACTGTGGGACCCCGCTCGTCACAGGCACCCACTCTGACACCTCGTCTTCCTGACAAGTATTCCCTGATCCATTGTAGTGCCTTCCCTGTTATCCCTGCTTGGTCCTCCAGTTTTTGCACTAATCTCTTGTGTGGAACTGTGTCAAATGCCTTCTTGCAGTCCAAGAAAATGCAAGCCACCCATCCCTCTCTCTCTCTTGTCTTACTGCTGTCACCATGTCATAGAACTCCAGTAGGTTTGTGACACAGGATTTCCCATCCCTGAAACCATGTTGGCTGCTGTTAATGAGATCATTCCTTTCTAGGTGTTCCACCACTCTTCTCCTGACAGTCTTCTCCATGACTTTGCATACTGTACATGTCAGTGACACTGGTCTGTAGTTTAGTGCTTCATGTCTGTCTCCTTTTTTAAAGATTGGGACTACATTTGCTGTCTTCTATGCCTCAGGCAATCTCCCTGTTTCGATAGATGTATTGAATATTGTTGTTAGGGGTACACATAGCGCCTCTGCTCCTTCTCTCAGGACCTATGGAGAGAAGTTATCCGGCCCCATTGCCTTTGAAGTATCTAGCTCACTCAGAAGACTCTTCGCTTCTTCCTCGGTTGTATGTACTGTGTCCAGCACTTGGTGGTGCACCCCACCTCTCCGTCTTTCTGGAGCCCCTTCTGTCTCCTCTGTGAATACTTTTTTGAATCTCTTGTTGTGTATGTGTATATGTATGTATGCATGTGTGTATTGGTGGAGAAGAGGCTGGTGAATGTTAGGTGTGGGGGTGTGTATGTATGTATTTGTGTGTGTTGGTGGAGAAGAGGCTGGTGAATGTTAGGTGTGGACAGGAACATGTAACACAGACATACAGTTACAATAATATCTTCATAGTTGACTAAAATTGGATAAATAAGCATACCATAAGGCAGTGAATTTGGTCAAAATCAGTTTTGGGTAAATAAAATCTAAAATTCAATAAATTTCCAATAAAGTTAACACAGCAAGAATCAGGAATAAAAATATACATCTCTTGACTTACTTTCACCAAAAACTATGTTCCAAATGGTCATATACCAAAAAAAAAAAAAAAAATTTGGTGAAACAAATTAGGAAAATAACGTTATAATCCTATTCATCCTTCCTCTTCTGTTCCCTCTCTCTCCCTTTACCACTCTCCCTCACCTTATAAACCTTCTATACTTCCTTCTTCTTTTTCTCTCTCCCTCCCTCTACCACTCTCCTCCACCTTATAAACCTTCTGTACTTCCTCTTTTCCCTCTCCCTCCTTTTACCACTCTCCTTCACCTTCAATCCCACTCCATCCACTGTCCACCTGTCTCTTGTCTTGGAGTCAAAACACATATTATGAACCTGTTGACTTGTGACTGCATCCCCTCCCTCCCTCCTCCTCTTCTTGCTACCTCTTTCTTTCTCCCCTTACTTCCCTTTCTTTTCCCCACCCTCCCTCAGTACCTGTACTTCCTTTTCTTCTACTTTGTTCCCTCCTTCCTCCTCTTTCCTTTGGAGCTGTACAGCCCTTGTGGCTTAGCGCTTCTTTTTTTATTATAATAATAATAATCTTTCCTTTGGAAATATAAACACATATGCAGTATAATGTGATCCGTTATTGACAACGTTTTGCCCACACAGTGGGCTTTTTCAAGTCACAAACAGTTCTACCTGGGTGGAAGGTACGCAAGTATTTATAGTCAGGTTCAGAATGTTGAGGTCAGGTGGAGAATGCTGCATCTGATGATCTACCGAGTGGGGTTATAGAGTCTAAAATCTTGGGTAGCTTGGAGAGGAGATTGGATAAGTTTTTGAGCAGATCTTCTGCAGTGTTCCTCCATTCCTATGTTCTTATGTGGGATAGTGATGAAGAAGTTTCTTGCCAAGAGACCAACCTACTACCTACATTTATTATTGTTATTACTAATAAAGTGATCAAAAATTGATAATTTGGCCAATTTCCAGAATAAAGAATGTAGACATTCCTGGCACTAAATAAACATTCCCTCTGTTCCTTAATCATGTGTCCAGGTCCCTCTTATATTAGGCTTGCTTTCAGTTTGAACTTTTTCACACATAAAAGAAGATTACTATGCAGACCTATGGCATAAGTAAGTTACGTGCTTACTCAATGTCAAACTGTCAGTAGGTCACATTTTGGGACAAGGCAACACCTGTTACACAATATCACTAAAATCAAACCACCCTACATTTACTCAGTTTTCAAGCTACTTTTCTAAACCATCAAATCATTCTGGTTTATTGTAGTATATGATTTTCTATCCAAATAAGAAAGAAACTGGGATATGACCAAAAAATAGCTATATAAGAAATGCACTACAAAGTGCTGTTTAAACCAGAAACACTGTTGGACAAATTTTTTTCACTCTGGATTATCCTGAATCAAACATTTTTCTAATTTGAGCTCAGTTTCAAGCTACTTTCAGTCCTGAAACCAATCAAAATCATCTCTGTTTTTGTAGTATATGTTCAGTTCTATCAAATAAGACCAAGAAACTGAGAATATGACCACAAAAGCCATATAGAAATGCACTGCAAAGTCGCTGTTTTAAACCAAAAACACGGTTGCAGTTTTTTCCCATTATGCATTGCATCCGACACAATTTTTTATGTGGTGCACACCTACCACATAGACCCATTCTTTCAAACCTACACCCAAATTTACCATGCACAGCTTATCTGAGTGAGCTGAGCTCATGGTGTTGTACTACGGGACTGACACTGGCTTCAAAGTTGAAATACAACAGGACTGACCCTGAGAGGGTTAATGCTATTGTGAGGTGAGTCATTGTTCACACCGCTATGATGGTTCATCAACATACAGCACTATGTTTAATAGTTAGCCTTTAAAAAACAAAGTTGTATTTGGTCTTGTTCTCCAAGTAAGGAATATTTGACAAATAAAATGACAGCACAATAACTATATACAGTGGTACCTCGGGATATGAAATTAATTCATTCCAGAAGGCTGTTCAGGAGCTGATACTGAATGAATTTGTTCCCCTAAGGAATAATGTAAATTAGATTAATCTGTTTCAAACCCCCAAATACACTACAAGCATTTAAAATACACTGATAATTGTTCGAGTTGGGAGCTGTTCGTATTCCAAGATACCACTGTTTACCTGGAGTTTACCTGGAGAGAGTTCTGGGGGTCAATGCCCCCGTGGCCCGGTCTGTGACCAGGCCTCCTGGTGGATCAGAGCCTGATCAACCAGGCTGTTACTGCTGGCTGCATACAATCCAACGTACGAGCCACAGCCCGGCTGGTCAGGTACCGACTTTAGGTGCTTGTCCAGTGCCAGCTTGAAGACTGCCAGGGGTCTATTGGTTATCCCCCTTATGTATGCTGGGAGGCAGTTGAACAGTCTCGGCCCCTGACACTTATTGTATTGTTTCTTAACGTGCTAGTGACACTCCTGCTTTTCATTGGGGGGATGTTGCATCATCTGCCAAGCTGTGGAGATAAATGCCCTCCCAGATGAATAGTTGTTGCAAACTTTTATCAAAAGAAGAAGATAAGGTAGACGTATGGTAATAACTGAGGGATCTAACAGTTAGGTCCTTGGAATAATTATAAATCCTGGTAACAAGGTAAACATTGTAATAACCTAGTTGGACAGTGATGCTGGGGCCCAGCTTGTTAGATTATTATAACAAGATTGTTGGCAGTGTTGTTGGTCCTCATTAGTAACTAAAGTGTTTTACATTAAACCACAGCTGAACATTTGGTTGTTGTCCTCCATTGTTGCCAGTTGCGGGAATCAGTGGTAGCATGCTTTAGCATTGGATACACTGGACTCGCATATGGTTATCTCATGGACAAGTAACCAGCATGCCACTGCAAGAATTGTTAGGTCACACTAAATGGAGATGAATGGTTTTTAGGACCTGACGAGCTGTTGGAATGTGAATAGGATAATATTCTGTGAAAGGATTCAGGGAAACTGGTTAGCCAAACTTGAGTCCAGGAGGTAGGAAGTACAATGCCTGCACTTTGAAGGAGAGGTTAAGGATATTGGCAGTTTGGAGTGACATCTTAACTGTTGTATTTGAGTGCCTCTGCAAAGACAGTGATTATGTGTGAATGATGGTGAAAGTGTTTCTTTTTGGGGCCCACCCTGCCTCGGTGGGATGGCCGATGTGTTAAAAGAAAAAAAAAATTCTCCATTCTCCATAGAGCATTCCAATTTTTTTTTCAGCTGCCTACTTCAGCCCTCTGACATGCTTCATTTGTCTTCCCTCCTCTCTTACAGTCCTGTGGTTGATGCAGACTCTGTACTAAAAGAAAAATAGATATATAAATGGCCAGGTTGAAATATGCTAGTCCAGATACTAGGAAAGGTTAGTATAGGCTAGTAACATGGTTACACATAAACATGTCCTTTTTACATCTTAATTTTTGAATTCTTAATTGACTCTTGAACTGCTACAGAAACTGTGACCTCTTGTTCTCCCTCCCCCCACCACTCTTTTTGTTGATGTCTTTCCCTTAACATTTCTACCATATCATCTCTAACATTACTTTCACTTGTGCTGTTTAGGAACCTCATGTAGGAACATATTCAGTACCCTCCTGAATTCAGTTTGGGCTGTATGTGTTTATTGTATGCATTTTTGTACTAAACACAGTACTCTGTTTTCTTCCTCATTACAGGAACAGGTAAGAGTCAGTTCCTAAAATACGTGTGTAACCTGGTGCCACGGTGTGTCCTAACAACGGGTATTGGAACCACCAATGCTGGTCTTACAGTTTCTGCTGTGAGAGATGAGGGAGAGTGGGCTCTGGAAGCTGGTGCTTTGGTACGTTATAGTTCATATTGTGTTTGGCAGCAGTTGTTAACCCTTAGATTGCTTCAGAGCTAAAATGTAAAACCCTACTGTATAATCCACTGAATTTTGAATAAAAAGAAATTTTTTTTCTGAAATTGAAGAGATTATTTTTCTGGTGGTAATAAAACAGAATTGAAATACAAGCAATACTTATGCAATGACACAGATGCAGATGCACAATTGGCATTTTTAGGCTCAGTATGGCAATATCAAGTTCTTGATGTGTAATAATATAAATAGTGACTTTTAATCTTTTTCTTTAACCCGTTAACTGTCCAAATGCAGATCTACGTTCTTACCGCTAGTGCTCCGAATATTTTGAAAAAAAAAAAAAAAAATTATAGAAATAAAGTGCATTTTTCTGTGTGACATAGGATTTAAAAAAAAATATTTTATGGTCGGTATTTACCGAGATATGAGCCCACGAAGTTGGCACTTGATGATCACCTGACAGCAGCATGGAGCACTGCCGCTTGCAGAAATTCTACATATTTACCAATTTTTCCATTTTTTTTTTAATTTTCTTGGTTTTTATGATATGATAATTATGTTTTATAGTAAATCTTTTGATTTCAATGCCACTTGTTGTTTATTATTTTTTTTATTATCACACCGGCCGATTCCCACCAAGGCAGGGTGGCCCGAAAAAGAAAAACTTTCACCATCATTCACTCCATCACTGTCTTGCCAGAAGGGTGCTTTACACTACAGTTTTTAAACTGCAACATTAACACCCCTCCTTCAGAGTGCAGGCACTGTACTTCCCATCTCCAGGACTCAAGTCCGGCCTGCCGGTTTCCCTGAATCCCTTCATAAATGTTACTTTGCTCACACTCCAACAGCACGTCAAGTATTAAAAACCATTTGTCTCCATTCACTCCTATCAAACACGCTCACGCATGCCTGCTGGAAGTCCAAGCCCCTCGCACACAAAACCTCCTTTACCCCTCCCTCCAACCCTTCCTAGGCCGACCCCTACCCCGCCTTCCTTCCACTACAGACTGATACACTCTTGAAGTCATTCTGTTTCGCTCCATTCTCTCTACATGTCCGAACCACCTCAACAACCCTTCCTCAGCCCTCTGGACAACAGTTTTGGTAATCCCGCACCTCCTCCTAACTTCCAAACTACGAATTCTCTGCATTATATTCACACCACACATTGCCCTCAGACATGACATCTCCACTGCCTCCAGCCTTCTCCTCGCTGCAAACATTCATCACCCACGCTTCACACCCATATAAGAGCGTTGGTAAAACTATACTCTCATACATTCCCCTCTTTGCCTCCAAGGACAAAGTTCTTTGTCTCCACAGACTCCTAAGTGCACCACTCACTCTTTTTCCCTCATCAATTCTATGATTCACCTCATCTTTCATAGACCCATCCGCTGACACGTCCACTCCCAAATATCTGAATACGTTCACCTCCTCCATACTCTCTCCCTCCAATCTGATATTCAATCTTTCATCACCTAATCTTTTTGTTATCCTCATAACCTTACTCTTTCCTGTATTCACCTTTAATTTTCTTCTTTTGCACACCCTACCAAATTCATCCACCAATCTCTGCAACTTCTCTTCAGAATCTCCCAAGAGCACAGTGTCATCGGCAAAGAGCAGCTGTGACAACTCCCACTTTGTGTGTGATTCTTTATCTTTTAACTCCACGCCTCTTGCCAAGACCCTCGCATTTACTTCTCTTACAACCCCATCTATAAATATATTAAACAACCACGGTGACATCACACATCCTTGTCTAAGGCCTACTTTTACTGGGAAAAAATTTCCCTCTTTCCTACATACTCTAACTTGAGCCTCACTATCCTCGTAAAAACTCTTCACTGCTTTCAGTAACCTACCTCCTACACCATACACTTGCAACATCTGCCACATTGCCCCCCTATCCACCCTGTCATACGCCTTTTCCAAATCCATAAATGCCACAAAGACCTCTTTAGCCTTATCTAAATACTGTTCACTTATATGTTTCACTGTAAACACCTGGTCCACACACCCCCTACCTTTCCTAAAGCCTCCTTGTTCATCTGCTATCCTATTCTCCGTCTTACTCTTAATTCTTTCAATTATAACTCTACCATACACTTTACCAGGTACACTCAACAGACTTATCCCCCTATAATTTTTGCACTCTCTTTTATCCCCTTTGCCTTTATACAAAGGAACTATGCATGCTCTCTGCCAATCCCTAGGTACCTTACCCTCTTCCATACATTTATTAAATAATTGCACCAACCACTCCAAAACTATATCCCCACCTGCTTTTAACATTTCTATCTTTATCCATCAATCCCGGCTGCCTTACCCCCTTTCATTTTACCTACTCCCTCACGAACTTCCCCACACTCACAACTGGCTCTTCCTCACTCCTACAAGATGTTATTCCTCCTTGCCCTATACACGAAATCACAGCTTCCCTATCTTCATCAACATTTAACAATTCCTCAAAATATTCCTTCCATCTTCCCAATACCTCTACCTCTCCATTTAATAACTCTCCTCTCCTATTTTTAACTGACAAATCCATTTGTTCTCTAGCTTTCTTAACTTGTTAATCTCACTCCAAAACTTTTTCTTATTTTCAACAAAATTTGTTGATAACATCTCACCCACTCTCTCATTTGCTCTCTTTTTAACATTGCTTCACCACTCTCTTAACTTCTCTCTTTTTCTCCATATACTCTTCCCTCCTTGCATCACTTCTACTTTGTAAAAACTTCTCATATGCTAACTTTTTCTCCCTTACTACTCTCTTTACATCATCATTCCACCAATCGCTCCTCTTCCCTCCTGCACCCACTTTCCTGTAACCACAAACTTCTGTTGAACACACTAACACTACATTTTTAAACCTACCCCATACCTCTTCGACCCCATTGCCTATGCTCTCATTAGCCCATCTATCCCCCAATAGCTGTTTATATCTTACCCTAACTGCCTCCTCTTTTAGTTTATAAACCTTCACCTCTCTCTTCCCTGATGCTTCTATTCTCCTTGTATCCCATCTACCTTTTACTCTCAGTGTAGCTACAACTAGAAAGTGATCTGATATATCTGTGGCCCCTCTATAAACATGTACATCCTGAAGTCTACTCAACAGTCTTTTATCTACCAATACATAATCCAACAAAACTACTGTCATTTCGCCCTACATCATATCGTGTATACTTATTTATCCTCTTTTTCTTAAAATATGTATTACCTATAACTAAACCCCTTTCTATACAAAGTTCAATCAAAGGGCTCCCATTATCATTTACACCTGGCACCCCAAACTTACCTACCACACCCTCTCTAAAAGTTTCTCCTACTTTAGCATTCAAGTCCCCTACCACAATTACTCTCTCACTTGGTTCAAAGGCTCCTATACATTCACTTAACATCTCCCAAAATCTCTCTCTCTCCTCTGCATTCCTCTCTTCTCCAGGTGCATACACTTGTTGTTTATACACAAATATTATATACGGAATTATTATCATACTGTCACAAACACACATGTATGCACTGATATGTGATTTTGCACACCTGGCTGAATCACATTCTATTATCTACAACTATATACAAATATTTACATGTCCCACTGATGTTTCTTGAACTCCACTATTGTATGATACTCCATAAAGCATGGATTCATACAGAGTGCCACCCCACATTGGTGACATGAATCATGTGTCCTTCTGCTGTTGGGGTCATTTTGTGGTGGTAGCACACACAACACACTTTTTCTGTGAATACTTCTTCTTTGGGGTATGTGGTATTGGTATCAGGTAGTGACAGTTAGGGATGATTCGGTCTGGCACTTCCCCAACTGGCTGTGGTTGTGGTCGGGGGACATGTCACTGTTGAGGGGCAGGTACAAGTGTGGTACCATACTTTTTGCTATCTGTTTTACGACATTCAGGGAGAATTCTGCGAAACATTGTCATTTTCCAGTTTTTATTTTGTACATATTGAATGCAATGAGCACTACAGTGTCTACAAGGTGGAAAAATAGTTTTATATACCACTTGTGACTCCTACGCACACAGTCAATAAACCCTAGCATCATGTCACACTTGTTGACTAGTCGCATATTGTTCGTATATTCGACGACAGCAGGTGGCTTTACAGTGCGTTCATTGGTGTCCTGGTTCACTTTGTCTGTTTGTACCATCTCGTTTCTGTGAATGGTTGACAGCAATGTCATGTCCTGTTTGTCATGTCACGTCAGTGCCATGATGTCATTGGCATGAAACACTTGCACTGCACCTTCAACACTGCCTCCACTGAACCTTGGCATATGTTTTCTATTCCTTCTCACTGTTCCACATATATCAGTATTGTTCACACATAGGAAATCAGCGAGCATAGGGCTTGTGCACCAGTTGTCTTTGAACAGTGTATGACCCTTGCCAAGGTATGGTTCCATCATCTTGCGAACAACATCACCAGAAATGCCCAACATCCGTCTGTCATCATCAAGTGTGTTTCTCCCGGTGTAGACAACGACGTCCAACACAAGACCGCTCTCACAGTCACACATAACAAAAAGTTTTATACCAAAGCGATTACGTTTGCTTGGTATATATTGGTTTAATGACAGGTGTCCCTTGAACAGAATCGAGGACTCGTTGACAACAATGTTCTTGAAAGGATAAGAGTATGCACTGAATTTCTGCTTCATATACATAAACACTTCCTGGATTTTGGCCTCTTCCTGTCTGAGAAGTGCAACATTCATAGCAACAGGGAAGGAGGTCACAGAATACAGGAGTACTGATGAAGTAGTCTGTAGACCAGTACTGTGCTATATTTTGCTTATATGTATGTGGCATAAGCATAACAGTAGCGAGGAATGTATACATTTTAGCCACAGTTGTATCGTTCCACCTATGCAGACGTGATGATTCTGCAACCACTGTGATGTCCATGATATAGCGATATTAATTGTTCATCTGGGTCACTATCAA